AAAATATCCAAGTATTTCATATAAAATGTTGGATCAGATTTACAAGTAATTTTTTGATTTGCTTGAAGAATTTTTTTTAAATCGATATTAACTAAATGATTAAAAGAATCGATATGTTGTTTTAATAATCCTCTTGTTCTAAAAAAAAGAGGTAATAATTTCCATTTTTCTTCAACTGTTTGAATTGGTTGACTTAATTCATTAAGAATATTATGTGTGTTTTTCAATTTAACTTCTTGATCCATTTATGAGAAAAAAAATGAAAAAATGAAAAATGAAAAAATGAAAAAATGAAAAAAAATTTATTTCTTTTATTTGATTTTGATTTTGATTTTGATTTAGAATTTGAATTTGAATTTGAATTTGATTTTGATTTTGAATTTGATTTTGAATTTGAATTTGATTTTAATTTTGATTTTGATTTTAATTTTGAATTTGATTTTGATTTTGATTTTGATTTTGATTTTGATTTTGAATTTGATTTTTAATTTGATTTTGAATTTGAATTTTAATTTTGATTTTGAATTTGAATTTGAATTTGAATTTGATTTTGAATTTGAATTTTAATTTTAATTTTAATTTTAATTTTGATTTTGAATTTAATTTTAATTTTAATTTGAATTTGAATTTGAATTAGATTTTGATTTAGATTTTGATTTTGATTTTGATTTTGAATTTGATTAATTTGAATTTGGTTTTGATTTTAATTTTAAATTTGATTTTGATTTTGAATTTGAATTTTAATTTGATTTTGAATTTGATTTTGAATTTGAATTTGAATTTGATTTTGATTTTGATTTTGAATTTGATTTTGATTTTGATTTTGAATTTGATTTTGATTTTGAATTTGATTTTGATTTTGATTTTGAATTTGATTTTGAATTTAAATTTAATTTAATTTTGATTTTGATTTTGGATTTGAATTTGAATTTGATTTTGAATTTGATTTTGAATTTGATTTTGATTTTGATTTTGATTTTGAATTTGAATTTGATTTTGAATTTGAATTTGATTTTGATTTTGATTTTGAATTTGATTTTGATTTTGATTTTGATTTTGATTTTGATTTTGATTTTGATTTTGAATTTGATTTTGATTTTAATTTTGAATTTGAATTTGATTTTGAATTTGATTTTGAATTTGATTTTGATTTTGATTTTGAATTTGATTTTGATTTTGATTTTGATTTTGATTTTGAATTTGATTAATTTGAATTTGGTTTTGATTTTGATTTTGATTTTGATTTTGATTTTGAATTTGATTTTGATTTTGATTTTGATTTTGATTTTGATTTTGATTTTGATTTTGATTTTGATTTTGAATTTGATTTTGATTTTGATTTTGATTTTGATTTTGATTTTGATTTTGATTTTGATTTTGATTTTGATTTTGATTTTGAATTTGAATTTGTATCTTCAAAAAGAAAATCATATTGAGATTTAAAGCATTCAAAGAAAGTATTTTCAAAATCTCCAAAATATTTCAAAATTTCATTTTTTGGATAAGAAATAAAATAATTTTTGAAATCTTCAAGTTTCACACCTTCTTGTTCTTTTTTAGTTATTGGTAATTCTTGAAATATTTCATGAACTTTAGATATTATATTTTGTTCATTAATTAATTCTTTGATTTGAAATTCAATGTTATTCATTTCATGTTTAGATAAATTGCTTATATCTTTTTCTTGTTTTTTGTAAGAAAGCCAAAATTGTAAAAAAAATGTAACATTTAAAATTTGTTTGAAAGCTTCATATAATTCATTTCGATCAAGAAATTCATTATCATCTCTTTTAAATTTGTATTTTTAAAATTTTTGGATTTTAATTTAATTTTATTTTTAATTTTTGGATTTTTGAAATAATAAATTACGTATCATAAATCTCAAAAAATTTTACTGCTTTTTCTCTAATTGATGTTTTTAAAGTTATTCAAAAGCTTCAATTAAAGTTATTGATTTATTTTCATATTGTTTATCATTTCTAATTTTTAATTTGAAAAATAAAAATATAAATATAAATATTTGAAATATAAATATAAATATAAATATAAATATAAATATAAATATAAATATAAATATAATTATAAATATAAAATATAAAATATAAATATAAAAATATCAATATAAATATAAATCAAAAATATAAATATAAATATAAATATAAATATAAATCAAAAATATAAATATAAATATAAATATAAATATAAATATAAATATAATTATAAATATAAATATAAAATATAAAATATAAATATAAATATAAATATAAATATTTGAAATATAAATATAAATATAAATATTTGAAATATAATTATAAATATAAATATAAAATATAAATATAAATATAAATATAAATATAAATATAAATATAAAATATAAAAATATAAATATAAATATCAATCTAAATATAAATATAAATATAAATATAAATATAAATATTTGAAATATAAATATAAATATAAATATAAATATAAATATAAATATAAATATAAATATAAATATAAATATAAATATCAATATTTGAAATATAAATATAAATATAAATATAAATATAAATATAAATATAAATATAAATATAAATATTTGAAATATAAATAAAAAACAACCCAAATATATCTGAAACTGTTGTGAATCTTTTATCATTCAAACAAAACATTTTTTGGATAGTATTAATAATTGATGATTGATATTTTGGTTTCTAATTTAAGAAATATTTTCATTTTTTAAAAAATGAAATAAATTTAGATAAATAAATAGATGAATTTTAAATTGATATTTCTAATTTTACTTCATTATCTTTTGAATTTTTATCTTTTGGAATAATATTTTGTGAAATTGGTTGAATAATTTGATTTGGAGATTGAGTAGAGCTGATTGTTTTTTTGAATTCTTGTAATTCTACCCTCTGTTTAATAGTAACTTCTAAATTAAGATCATGTTCTAATTGATCTAATAAGTTGTTTTGTTCTTCAATATCTTCAAGAAACCCAGAAGAAGATGTTAATCTTGCAAATACTCCTTTTTTAGCATATTTACTTACAGTTAAAAATAATCCTTTCAATATTTCCAACAAATTTGTTAAATTAATAAATTTTTTGCTTTGATTTTGATTTTGATTTTGATTTTGAATCTGATTTTGCTTTGATTTTCAATTTGATTTTGATTTTCATTTTGATTTTGATTTTGATTTTGAATTTGATTTTGAATTTGATCTTCAATTAAAAATTGATAAAAAACACTTATAATAATTTGATAGTAATTTTTTTGTTTTTCTTTTTGTTTTTCTTGTTCTTTTTTTTTTTTGATTTTTTGTTAAGTTTTGATTTAAATTCATTTCTTTTTCTTCTTCTTTTTTTTGATTTTGAATTAATATATCAAGATAAGCTTTTTTAAAACTTATTTGGAAAAATTTGAATTTTGTTTGAACTAATTCTCTTTTTTTATTATTTAAACTGGTTTTATTCATTTCTTTTTGTAAGTTATCGCAACTTATTTTAAAACGATATTTTTGGTTTTCACTTAATTCTGTTTGTGGAATTATTTGCATTTGAGGAAATGCTATTATTTTTTTTTTAATAAACAAAATTAATTAAAATAACAACAAAAAAAAAATTAAATAAAAAAATTTTTTTTCTTTTTTCCTTTTTGCTTTTTACAGAATTGTATTGTTTTTTGTTAATCTATCTATTCTTCCAAGAACTTGAATAACTATTTTTCCTGCTTTTGCTTTGTTATCAAATTGTTCTTTAAACCATTTTATTGCATCAATAATAAGTTCAATTAAATCTGTTGCCATTTTTATTTTTGTAAATAAAAAAATGAAAAAAAAAATGTGGATTTGTTTTGCTTTTTTTCTATTTAGGAAAAATTAAATTAAAACAAATAAGATAATTAAATAGAATATTTATAAAATAATAAATATAAATTAAAATAAATATAAATTAAAATAAATATAAATTAAAATAAATATAAATTAAAATAAATATAAATTAAAATAAATATAAATTAATTATTAAGTTAAAATTTTAATTAAAAAAAGTGGAATAAAATATAAATTAATATAAAATTTAATCAAAAATTAAATTAAAACAAATAAAATAATTAAATAGAATATTTATAAAATAATAAATATAAATTAAAATAAATATAAATTAAAATAAATATAAATTAAAAATAAATATAAATTAAAATAAATATAAATTAAAATAAATATAAATTAATTATTAAGTTAAAAAATTTTAATTAAAAAGTGGAATAAAAATATAAATTAATATAAAATTTAATCAAAAATTAAATTAAAACAAATAAGATAATTAAATAGAATATTTATAAAATAATAAATATAAATTAAAAATAAATATAAATTAAAATAAATATAAATTAATTATTAAGTTAAAATTTTAATTAAAAAGTGGAATAAAATATAAATTAATATAAAATTTAATCAAAAATTAAATTAAAACAAATAAGATAATTAAATAGAATATTTATAGAATAATAAATATAAATTAAAAATAAATATTAAATTAAAATAAATATAAATTAATTATTAAGTTAAAATTTTAATTAAAAAAAAGTGGAATAAAATATAAATTAATATAAAATTTAATCAAAAATTAAATTAAAACAAATAAGATAATTAAATAGAATATTTATAAAATAATCAATATAAATTAAAATAAATATTAAATTAAAATAAATATAAATTAATTTTTAAGTTAAAATTTTAATTAAAAAAAGTGGAATAAAATATAAATTAATATAAAATTTAATCAAAAAATTAAATTAAAACAAATAAGATAATTAAATAGAATATTTATAAAATAATAAATATAAATTAAAATAAATATTAAATTAAAATAAATATAAATTAATTATTAAGTTAAAATTTTAATTAAAAAAAAAAGAAAAAAAAAATTTATTTTAAATAATAAATATAAAAGATATAAATTTTAAAAAAAAAAAAATAAGAAGAGAAAAAAAAAAATAATTAAATATATAAGGGGGTGTGGCGCAGTCTTGGGAGCGCATTACACTGAAGATGTAAGGGTCGTGTGTTCAATCCACACCACTCCCATTTATTTTTTTTTTATTCTTTTTTTCTTTTTTAATTTATTTTTTTCTTTTTGATTTAAATTGGAATAAAATTAATAAATATAAAATAAATAATAAAAAAGTGGAATGAAATTAATAAATATTTTTTAAATAAATTAAAAATAAAATTAATAAATATTTTTTAAAAAAATTAAATAAAATTAATAAATATTTTCTAAATAAAATTAATAAATAAAATAATAAAAAAGTGGAATAAAATTAATAAATATTTTTTAAATAAATTAAATATAAAATTAATAAATAAATATAATAATAAAAAGTGGAATAAAATTAATAAATATTTTTTAAAAAAATTAAATATGAAATTAATAAATAAAATTAATAAAAAAAATAAATATAAAATTAATAAATAAAATAATAAAAAAAAGTGGAATAAAATTAATAAAATATTTTTAAATAAATTAAATATGAAATTAATAAATATAAAATAAATAATAAAAAAAGTGGAATGAAATTAATAAATAAAATAAATAAATATTTTCTAAATAAATTAATAAATAAAATTAATAAATATTTTTAAATAAAAATAAAATGAATAAAATTAATAAAATAAAATTAATAAATAAAATAAAATGAATAAAATTAATAAATAATAAAAAGTGGAATAAAAATTAATAAAATATTTTTAAATAAATTAAATATAAAATTAATAAATAAATATAATAATAAAAAAAGTGGAATGAAATTAATAAATATTTTAAATAATAAAAAAAGTGGAATAAAAAATTAATAAATATTTTTAAATAAATTAAATATAAAATTAATAAATATTTTCTAAATAAATTAATAAATAAAATTAATAAATATTTTTAAATAAAATAAATATAAAATTAATAAATAAAATTAATAATAAAAAAAAGTGGAATGAAATTAATAAATATTTTTTAAAAAAAATTAATATAAAATTAATAAATAAATAAAATAAATAATAAAAAGTGGAATAAAAATTAATAAATATTTTTAAATAAAATAAATATAAAATTAATAAATAAAATAAATAATAAAAAAGTGGAATAAAATATATAAAATTAATAAATATTTTTAAATAAATTAAATATAAAATAAATAAATATTTTTTAAATAAATTAAATATAAAATTAATAAATAAATTAAATAATAAAAAAGTGGAATAAAATTAATAAATATTTTTTAAATAAATTAAATATAAAATTAATAAATAAATATAATAATAAAAAAGTGGAATGAAATTAATAAATATTTTTTAAAAAAATTAATAAATAAATTAATAAAAAAATTTGTTTTGTTTTTTTTTTTGAATTATTGAAAAGAATTGAAAAAAAAGAATTGAAAAAAAAGAATTGAATTGAAAAAAAAAGAATTGAATTGAAAAGAATTGAAAAAAAAAAGAAAAGAATTGAAAAAAAAAGAATTGAAAAAAATTATCTGATGTTATGTAATCGATATTTAATTTCATATTCTGGATAATATGAAAATTGTTCAAAAACGAAATATTGTGTGTATCTTGATTTCATTTCTTTGTTAGAAACTTCAATAATAATTGAATTATAGTTTTTCATTTTTTCATAATCAAATTTTTCGTTTTGATTCATTCGATAAAATCTTCCTAAACAAACTCGATAAATATAAATAGTATGAAGTCCACTTTCAATATCAACTGTTGAATATTCATGAGCAATAGGGAAATTTTCAAAAAAATGTTTAGAATTGGGAATATTGAAATTTTTAAATTCTGGTAATTGTTCATTTAAAATTCCTTCAATTACTGAACATGAATCAAATCTTTTTCCTGAAAATAAGTAACATTCATTAATACTGTTTAAATCTAATTTATCTGTTGTTTTTAATTGAATAATTTCATCTTTTTGTATTATATCTCTTGTTGAAAATACTTGTTTTTTATATCTTGAATAAAGTGAATAAAGTGTAATATCTTTGTTTTGTTTAACTTCAATAATATCAATATTTGGTGTAATAAATGTTTCTGTTGAACAATATGATAAATCTATTAATTTCCTGATTTTATCATAAGTATCATCATAAATGTAAACATTTTGTCCATAACAAATTCGTTTAAAACGTGGAAGTATGGATTCGATTCTTAATTCGAAACTTTTTGGGATTGGAGAATATTCATGAAAAAATGAAAATTCTAATAATCTTAAAGGTGTTAAAGAATATTCTTTTTTTTGTTTTTTAAGTTTGTTATATTCTTCTTCAGGAAATAATATTTCTCTCAATTCATTTAATTTTGTATCTTGGAAAATTTTGAGAAATTTGTTCATATCTTGATTAACTAATCCTTGGGTTTCTTTAATAGCATCACCAATATAAACAAATTTTTCTTCTTTGAAAAAAAGTTGTGTGAAAATTGCATTATTTCTTTTTGTTGAAATGAGAATTGAAGAAAGTGGTATTGTTTGTAAATTATCTGAGAAAAATAAATTTTTGGAATGAAGATAATGAATTCCAAGAAGTAATTGTTTAATAAATTCAATAAATTGTAAATATGAAAAATTTGGTGATGAAATGTAATCTTTGAGTGTTCCTTCATATTTATTTTTGAATCGAATGATATAACTTTTATGTTGTTTATCTTCTTCTACTTCATAATAACATTTCAATTTTCCGATTGAGGATTGATTTAATTCAATATAAGGTAACATTTTGTTTTTGTTAATTTTCATATAAAAATATTTTTCAATTTTATTATAATAAGGAATTGGTGAATATGCTTTATCTTCTTTTAATATTTTAGTATTAATTATTTCTTTGATTGATTCATTCATTTTAAATTTCTTCATTATATTTTGTATATTTGATTTTTTAATTTCTTTTTTTTGATTTGTTTCATAAAAAAAGTTGATAATTTCATTTCCTAATTCTTTGATTCTGGTTGATAATTTCGTTTCTTGATTTTTTTCATTTTCGGTTAATTCTTTATATTTATAGAATAAACTAAATAGAATAAAATCTTCCCAATCTGAATATTTATTGATTTGATTCATTTCAGAAATATGATCTCGAATAATTTTATGAAATTTTTTATTTGAAAGAAATTTCTTAAGTTGATCTGGATCTTCGGAATTTAATATTTCGAGTTTTTTAAGTAAATTAATTGAATTGATAAATCTTCGAATTATTTGAATTTGTATGAATTGTCTTTTTGGATTTGTTTGTTCGTTATATTCTATTAAATTAGTTGGTTTTGAAATTTGATGAAATTGTTTGAATTTAATTGAAATTTCTCCAATTTCTTGATAAATAAAATTAACTAATTCTCTTATTTGTTCTATTTTAAGATTTTTTTTTGGATCTTTTAAATATAAATATAATTTTTCTAATTTATTTAATTTTGTGTGAATTTCTTCAAGATTTGTAGCATATCTAAGTGTTGTGAAATTTTTATGAAGTTCGTCATATTGAGCTGTATCTTCCATTTTTTTCCAAAATTTTTGTATTTCTTTTTTGAATATTTTGGTTTCTTTTCTCTTTTGGATAATAATGATTTTGGTAATGATGATTTTGATAATGATGATTTTGGTTTTTCAAATTGAATAATTTCATCAAAATGAATTTGAGAACTATTATATAAATTTTCAAGATTATTTTTGGGTGATAAAATTTGTGGAATTTTATCAAAAAATTCAATAAGTTTTAGTTGAGATGAATTTACTGAGTTTGAATATATTTTTGGGTGTAATTTCAATTTTTGAATTTTAGTTTCTAAAAATCTTAAATTTTTGGATATTTTGATTTTTGTTGTGATGGTTTTGGTTTTGGGTTTAAATCTTGATATTTAGCTGGATAATTAATACGACACCATTCATTAAGTTTGATAAATGATTCTTTTGAAGTTTTTTCATCTTCATAACTTTTATTATAATTACGTAATAAAATAAGATATTGATATCTTAAATCTTTTTAATATTTTCATCTTCTTCCAAATTTAGGATTGTTTTCATCTCCTTTAAATATTGGATGTTGTAATAATTCTTTGGATTTTTGAGGTTGAGTATCAAAATAAAGATGAATTAATGATAAAAGATATGTGGCTTTTTGTTCTTTATCATTGGTTATTTCAATCATATTTTCCAATGCTTCAATTTTTCATTTAAAGATTCAACATTTTCAAAAGCATATTTGAATAAATTAAATACTTTAAAAGATTTTTTTCATCTTTATCAATTTTTTTTTCATCTTTATATAATTTTGCAAGTAATAATTTATGTCTAGATTCTTCGATTTTATCATTTTGATTTGAAATTTTCACAAAGTTGTTTTAAAATTTGTTTACGTTTTAAAAATAAGTTGAGAATCATTAGATTTGTCTTCTGGTTTTGGATCATAAAGATCAGTAGTTAATCCAAGTGCAAATTTGAGAATTTCAATTTTTTTTAATGAAGGAATCTTTTCTTCTTTTTCTTTTAAAAATTCAAAACATTTTTCAATTCGTTTTAATGCCCATTTTAATGTTTTATTATAGAAATCTGTATCTATTTTAGTATCTATTTTAGTATCTGAAGTGTTTTCTATTTCAGATTTTTCATAGAATTGACCATCAATTTTTATAGGTTGTTTAATTAAATGAGTTATATTTGTAGTATTTTGGTATTTGCGCTTTATAAAAGTGAGTTTTTGAACCACTTCTTCAGTTTCATCTTTCTTTGTGAGATCCATACTAATTGATAAAAGGTTTAAATTTTTACGTTGATAAGGTTTTCTTGGTTCTTTTTTCCGTCAGAAAACCTTGGAATATTTGAATTTTGTTGTTTTGGTTTCGTTTTGGTAATTTTGAGGATTTTGATTCTAATTGAAAAGTTGAAAGTTGAATATTTTGTGTTGTTAATTTAGATTTGAATGATTGTTTGATTTTATTTGATTCTTTTTTTTTGATTTTGATTCTTCAAAAGAAACTTCTTTTGATTCTTGATTCTTCTTTTGATTAAAGTGTTCAAAAAAAAACTTTTCAAAATTCTCAAA